CCAAAAAAGGGTTTAGTTTGTAAAAAGCATTAGCAGAAATTAATTTGTTGAAAATTTTATGATAAATTATTGTTATAAAAACTAGGGGGCCCAAACCCGTAAGTGTAAATGTTCGGAAGCACAATTTTCTTTTTGGCATGCCCAATATACTGTAGCCCAAACATCAGCCCATACATTGCTAGGTTTATTGTTATGATCAATTGTCCCTAAGATATTGAATGTGGTACTACTCGTTGAGTCATCAAGCCATAAAGCATCATCATCAATAAGTTGTTCATGGTGGCCATTGTCATCACTAAATACCAATGTTCCGATTGCTCGTGGGTTCTTCGGAGCACTAACCGTAAGATTTATATATGTATATCGATTATCAATATGGTAACAATTTTCTGGTTCTCCATTCAGTCGTTTATCAGATTCTATCCAAGAAGCAGATATAATTTGAGCACCACAAGCTATGAAAAGAAAAATATTAAAATTTCAAGATTTTATGAACAATAATAAAAAAGATTTGTCTTAAAATAACATACCACCGAATTCATTATTACAACCTTTTTCCTTAGGCCAAGAAGCAGCCATATAAGGTCCACCACAAAAAAATTCCGCCTCAACATACATTACGAATAAAAATACATACAAAGTAAATGAAACAATATATTTCGGATTCATGTTTGTTATGTTCAAATTTCTGTGCTATGAATTTATTATGTTTATTATTATTATGATTGTTAAAATTATATTTAACTTTCCGCGTGTTTATATATATTTTTTACTGAAGAAAATCTTTTTTTGTATTAACCACTTTCGTAATTTCGAACCAATACAAGATATTCGCAATTCAATTGTCAACGTTAGTACTAACGTTCGTACTAACGTTAGTACTAACGTTAATACTAACGTTCGTACTAACGTTAATACTAACGTTCGTACTAACGTTAATACCAACAGCGTAAAAGAGTAGATCGTTGTTTGTAATTGATTTACCATGATAAACTTTTTTTTAATCGATTACTAATATTAATATCACTTTATATTATATAATATAGAATATATATATAAAATATGAGACAAATTAAGTTTACTCAAATTTCCGAATTAACGTACATATATTGATATCATATTTTATATTTAATAATATAGCACATAATTTAATCACATTAGATATCACAAAATGAGCACAATTCGCCAATACAAGTCACTCTCGTTATAGTGAAGCCCTTGGGCTGTGAAACTTTCTTCACTATATCGGGAGATTCATTATATTGAGATATAGTGAAGTCGATAATAAATTGTATAAATCTTCACTATATCGAAACTTTATATCTAATTAACAGGTGTTACACAAAGTAACATAGTTGTGTATGACACCTATTCCATTAATTTTATTGGTCAATCAAAACTATATGTGGTTATGTAATAAAATTTATTAATGAAGATTTTTCAAATAAATAATAATTTTATAGTAATTATAACAAAATTTTAAATAGATGCACAGCCCTAACTGTTCGATAGATTCTGATAAAATTTTGTAAAGACTATTATTATGTATCTACGAACAAAGCTATAGAGCCATTTCTTTATTTAAGCATGAAAAAAAATTTAATCTATTATGTATTTTTTTCCTAAAAAAGGAAAACAAGAGAACCTAATATAGTTTCTTTTTTAAAGAAATAGCTCTATAGCTTTGTTCGTAAAGACGTAATACTGGTCTTTGC